GGTTGGTTATTAGTAGGGTTACTCGGGTTGGAGTTAAAGATTGCCTAAGGGTTAGGCGGATTAGTGTCTCGGTAGTGGTCAGTTTTAAGAGTATTATCGTTATAGCTATGGTTTCGACCAGACATTAGAATAAAACGTAAGGCAGCCCTTAAATTGGAGGGCTGAGGCCAGTACCTCACATAATCGACAGTTCAACTGTCAATTTCGACAATGCCCGCCACGAGCCTAAGCAGGCTGAAGCGATGCAGTGACTGTGGCTGAATTACGGCGAAAGTAGCCGCGCCGAATCTACCCCACTCCCTCATCACTCCCACACCGGACCCGATGTCAAGACTAAAGTCGAGAAGACCATAGATGGGGTAGGGCGCAGTCGGCTGGCGCGTACCAACAGCACGCCTCGCTAGGTGGGCTCCCGCCTGGGTGCGCTATAAAGGCCACATTAGGAAGGAGTCATTGAGCCTGACTCTCAGCTCGCAGTAAGCCACTCCACACAACAAGATACACACTAGACCGATTGCGGTGTCCGAATTACCCCATCAGTTGACAACCCTCCAAGTTACGCCTTTTAGCATACCAGGATGGTTTCAAGCACATCAAAGTGTTTAAAGTGCGGAAGGAGGTGCGCTGAAGATCGACCTCACACTCTCCTCCACCGCCAACAACAGGCCACCGACTAACTGATCGGTCGCTTAAGGGCTACACCTACCAGATAAGTCATGTTAAACATAGTGGAACACAATATTCTTGACGTTGCGGATACGTACTATAAGGGGCATATCCTTTTTTACCTTATACTCATCATCACTCGTAATAACCCCGAATCTGCCTGGAAGTCAGGCGAAATCCACCTGCCTGTACCTGTTCACTTGCAACTCCGTACTAAGACGACATGCCCGCAGGACAACCTCCGGGTATCTCATATAAACACCAGAGGAAAAAGAAAAAAAGGTGGTAAGCTGATGTTCCCATCTATTCTGCTTATTCATTATTACTAAGCAGCTGACACAGTTATAGGATGTAGCAATGTTAGTTGATTAAAGAGCAGATTCCTTTTTATAAGACAGGAGACTTTCCCCTAAACCTCAAGAGAGAGTTAGGTACTGCAAAAACTCAAAATTTAGCCTTATAGCGGTAAATGGTCAACTAATTGCCGATGAAGTTTGCATCTACATACTAGGTTCCGACTTAATGCATGTACGTTCAGGCCGCATTGTAATTTGCCACTTACTGGTTTTAGCAGGTATTATTACTAGAACAAGCACTTCGAATAGTAGTATTCCGGAAAAAATGGCAAATGCCACTTTGGTACGACCTAAATGCGTGAAAGATCTACAGTTATTATTAAATACACGTTTCCTTAACCCTTCAGCTTACTAAAATCCCCGTATAGGTTAAAACTGCATAAAAGCTTAAAATTTCCTATATGCACGACCAGGCCGCACCTTAGCTTGCCAACTTCTGGCTTTAGCAAGTATGGTTACTAGAACTAGCCCTCCTAGCATACGCATATCACTTCTAACAGTAATATCCTAGGCCTAGTAATTTAAACTTTATGGGAACAACCAGGGCAAGCATTGATGTGCTCCGGGCCTCAAACACCTACTCTACACGGAATAGCAAAAATCCAGGTCCCCAATCCTAGTTGAGACTGAGGGAACACGGGCCCAGCTCTGCCTCTAATCAGTGTTATTTCTGACAAAATTTTAGCGTCAGTAATAGTATCAGCACTAAAATCACTCAAGTATACCGCTAGAAGCAGCAGTATAAACAGTAGCTGCGGTAGTAGACATACGAGACTCGGTTTTCTTGAGCCTTTCTGGACACCTGTTGAAGGTGATTAAGACTAAGTTAGGCAGTGCTTCTGGCTGCATTGGAGAAAGCGGTGTACGTCCGATTCCTGCTCGGTTATCTCGACTTCGTTTTGTAACTGGTTCAAGCGGGGAGAAGGCTGCTCGTCTACCTTCACTGTATCTGACTACAGTCACCGTCCCTGTTCTTGGGCATATGGTAGACATAATCGATTGCTGTGGTCGAACTAATACCTTAATATTACAGTGAATTTTAACGATGCCCGGTGGGAACTGTGGATAGGATCCTGCAATGATTGTAATGACAAGCTGAAAAGGCAGTATTTCGTTCAATAGGATGAACATTATGCAGGCTACTTCATAGAAGATGTCTTTTTGAGGAAACTCCGCCTACCTGCCTACGTCTGTCCAGTTGCCATGGCCACCCAGCGGTGCCATATCCAATTGTGCCAGGCAGGTGTACCGAGTCGCGTCAACCACCTGCAGTTGGTCAATAATAAGGCGTGAGACCGCGATCACCGGAATACCCGAGTCGTCCTTTCGCAGGCCAGCGACCACAGAGAAGCGACCCAGTCGAGTGCCACTGAATTCCACCTCCCTAGGGCTGAGGTTGTCCACCTCC